TCTGAAGCATACTTTTGTATGATGTCTATTCTTTTAAATGTTTAAAGATGTGTTTTATAGCCCAGAATGTAGTCTATCTTGGCTAATGTTCTCTGTAAGCTTGGGGAGAATGTTTAGTTACCTATGGTTAGATGAAATATTATATAACTGTCAATTAGAGCCAGATGATGATGGTGCTAGTCAGTTTCACTAGCTCCCTACTGATTTTCTGCCTGCTGCATCTGTCAATTATTAACAGAGAGGTACTGAAGATCCAACTAAAATAGTGGATTTGTCTTTCTTTCTTCTTGTAGTTTTACCTGTTTTGCCTCGTATTTTGACACTGTGTTGTGAGGTGCATACACTGGATTGTAATGTTTTCTTGGAGAGTTGATATTATTATTATGCAATACCCATCTTTATCCCTGATGATTTCTTTGTTCTGAGACAAAGTCAGCTTTGCCTGAAATTAAAATAGCCAGCTTTCTTTTAATTAATGTTAGCATGGTGTATTTTTCTTCATCTCTTTAAATCTGTCTTTAAAGTTAAAGTGAGCCCTTACCATTGTGGCTAGGTTGGTTGGGCATTGTCCCGCAAAGTGAAAGGCTGTCAGTTCAATTCCTGGTCAGGGCACAAGCCTGGGTTGCAGTTCAGTCCCTGGTCTAGGCATTTGCTTTCTCTTTTTCTGCTTTCTCTGGTTTCAGCTAATATTTGATATAATTCTATTTTCTGTCTTCTCTTAGCATATCAGTTATACTTCTTTTAAATTATTTCTTTTTTTTTTCTTTTGAAATTGGCCTAGAGTTTGCAGTATACATTTAGAGCTCATTTGAATCCACTTTCAATAACATGATACCTTTCATAGGCAGTTCAGGTCATTTATAATAGACTATTCCCAATTCCTTCCTCCTCTCCCTTATAACATTGCTGTCACTCATTTCACTATCCACCAGCTATAATCACTTAATACACTGCTCCTATTATTACTTTAAAGTTATCTGTTAAATAAATGAAGAATAAAAATTGTTCTACCTTCATTTATTCTATTCTACTGTTCTTTTCTTCGTGCAGATCCAAGTTTCTGACCTATATCATTTTACTTCTCTGTGAAGAACTTCTTTCTTCCAAGGAAGGTCTACCAGTGAAAATTTTCCTCAGTTTTGTTTGTCCGAGAGGTTTTTATTTCCCCTCCACTTTCAAAAGTTAATTGTACTGGATGTAGAATTCTAACTTGGTGGGTTTTCTTTCAACACTCTAAATCAATTTCTCTCCATTCTCCCTTGCTTGCATGGTTCCCAAAGAGAAGTCTGATGTAATTCTTCTTCCTGCTCTCCTATAGGCAACGTGTCTTTTCCCCTCTGGCTTCTTTCAGTATTTTGTCATTGTTTGATTCTTTTGAAAATTTTGCAATTAAACTTATTGGAGTGACATTGGCCAACAAGATCACATAGGTCTCAAGTGTATATTTCTATGATACATAATATGTGCATTGTGTTGTGTGCCCACCATTTGAATATGATAGGCCTTTGTGTAGATTTTTTTTTTATCCTGTTTTGTGTTCTCTGACTTTCTGTAACTGGTTTGGTGTGTCATTAACTTTCAAAAATTCTCAGCCATTATTAGTTCAAATATTTCTTCTCTCTTTTTTTGCAGTATTCTTATTACCTATATGTTATACTTTTTGCATTTTTCCATAATTCTTGAATATTCCATTTCTTCCCATTTAAACTGTTTTCTCTCTACATTTAAATTTAGAAGTTCTTATTGACATATCTTCAAGATCACTGACTATTTCTCAGCTGTGGAAGGTATTCTTCATTTCTGGTGCAGCATTTTTTGGGTTCCAGCATTTTCTTTTGATTCTTAGCGTTTTCATCTCTCTGTTAATATTTCACATCTGTTCTTGCATATTGTCCCCATTTTCCAACAGAGCTCTCAGCATGTTATAAATACTTAAAACTCCCAGTTCAATAATTATAAAATATCTGCCATATCTGAGTCTGGTTTTAATCTTCCTTTATCTCTTCAGACTGTATTTTTTTCTTGCCTTTTAGCACACTTTGTAATTTTTTGTTGAAAGCCAGACATGATATATTGGATAATAGGAGCTAAGATAAATAGGCCTCTAGTGTGAGGCCTTATGTTTATCTGGGAGGAGTTTGGCTGTGTCCAAATGTTTGCTCTGGCTGCAGGAGGCAGAGGCTTCAGTTTCCTTTCAAGTCCTTTTGTCTCCTCCTCTGTCTCAGGGTTTTCTTAGAAACTCCTTCAACAGTGTGTCTCGCAGATCTCCCCTTTGTAATCCACTCTTATTATCCTGGAGCATCTTTATGATGGTAATAAAGTACTGGGGAATTTTATGATTAAATCTCCATTTCTCGTGAGCTAGAATTCGTGGGCTCTGACCTTCCAAAGAGTTTCTTAACCAGGCCAGCTAGAAAGGCAGGAAGGGGTCCGGTTGTCTAATTGCTCTTCTTGGTCAGAAAACACTTTCATAAAGAAGTTTCCCTTGAGGGCTAGACTTTGTTTCAGGGAACTGAAGGCTGGGTATATTTCAAAATGATTGTTCTTTCCCTGCCCTTGCCAGAAGCAGGAGGGAATTTTTGTCTGATCTTCACTGACAGAACCTCAAGGTGCTCCTGAAGGTAAAACCCACTGAAGTCTGAATACTCCCTTGACACTGGGTCCTGCCTCCCCAGGTTTTCAATGTTTCATTTAGTCCCCATCAGTTTCTAGCAGGTCCCCAGTGACTGTTTAAGTGCTCTCTACCCATCATCGCTACTCCAGCAGCTTCTGCTCCTAGTAAGCTGTGATTCTCTGCATTCACCTGCGTCTTCAGTGCTCAGGGCAATGATTTGCCCTGTGACCTCAATTCTCTGGTATCGGTGGTAGGAATTGTTGATTTTCAATTTGTTTTTGTCTTATTGTGATGATGGCAGTGCCCACTTTGAAGATCTTCAAATACTAGTGCAGAAACCAGAAGTCCTAACAATATTTTACATATAGCTTTTGACTACTGAAAATGGTGAGAGATACACAGATCTTACTATTGATATTTTATATACAAGAAAACTGAGGTGAAACTAATCTTGATCTACTTGTGAAGGGTCTTCCAATACAGATTTTTATGTTTAGTCATTAGTGCAAATGAACAACTTGAAAGAAAAATTTCAGCTTGAGCAGCAGATCGCCTATATTTGGTCTGGCTCCGTGGTTTGACGTGGAAAGTACTGAACTGAAATATTCTGTTATAAATATCATCAAGTCTGACTTAGCCCCCAACTCACTTTTAGACTCTAGGGAATTTACACTGGGAATCTCATTTTCTCCATGTGAATCTGAAGCAAGAACAAACCACACAATCATGGAGGTCTCTTTTAAACACAAAGATCAACAGTTGTATTCGGGCCCTATATTTCTCGGAAGAGAGAGTTTGGGTATATGTGTGTACCTGTAAATTTGTATGTGTGGAAAGGGGAACTTCAAATTTCTCTGAGCTGCTTAATTAATCCCTTCCCTTACACGAAAAGCCTTAGCTTCTTTAATTCTTCAAAGGACATGGTACTCTTCCTCTTCTTTATGATACACTATAGTTTATAAATGTGAATGTTTAAAGCAGGACTTCCCTCCAGGATACCTCCTCTTTGGACAGTCCTTATGGTTTCTCCTACTAGTAACTCCACAACCATAACTAACCAACCACTGGATTGCCTCAGTTAAAGGCCGCTTCCTCAGAGAGACCCTCTTTGAACTCTCAGACTAGGAGAGAACCCAGCACTTCCCCTTTCTGAACTTGGTCATATCTGTGTCCCTTGCCATTCTGGAACCTCCATGAAGGGTAGCACCCCATACAGGCCACAGATGCACTCCCAGAGCTAACAGTCTAGAACACAGCTGTTCAACAAGACTCTCTGTGATGACCAAAGCATTCTAAAATCTGCAACGTGGCTATGGAGCCCTCAAAAAGTGTCCAGTACAAGCGAACTACTGAATTTTTAATCCTCATATAAATGTAATAGTCATAGGCAGTCTGTGGCTACATACCAGAGTGAGAAACTAAAGCAATGTTTCTTAAAATCTAAACCAGAATGTCAGGAATCTGCATTTTAACACATTCCCCCTTAATAGATTGATTCTTACTGTCAATATAATTTGACAACTATTGAGGTACAATGTGAGTCTCATGGAGGAGACTTAAAAGAAAACGATTCTTGCCCTGGCTGGCGTAGCTCAGTGGATTGAGCACAGGCTGCGAACCAGGGACCGCAGGTTCGATTCCCAGTCAGGGCACATGCCTAGGTTGCAGGCCATGGCCCCCAGCGACCGCACATTGATGTTTCTCTCTCTCTTTCTCTCTCCCTTCCCTCTCTAAAAATAAATAAAATCTTTTAAAAAAAAAGAAAAGAAAACGATTCTTGAGCCACACCCCTCCAGATTCTTGTGCAGGGCCCAGGTATCAGTATTTCAAAAACAAACAAACAAATAAATAAATAAATAAGACAAAAAAATCTCCCCTGGCCATTGTAATGCGCAGCCGAGAGTGAGAAGCCTATATAGTTCTCATGTGGCACTCAGCACGAATTAGATAAATGTGAGGATGCTTGTTCTGGTGCATTTATAAGGCCCAGTGATGACAAGTAAAACCTTGTGATGTCACAAGAGATGTCAGTGACATTAGTGATTCAGATGAATTTCTGAATTAAGAGGCCTTTGGTTTTATCCATAAATAGTACAAATAATGCCTAGTTCTGTGATGTTTAGAGAAGGTGACATGGTCAGAGTTCCCTGAAAAATCACCTCTCCAAATGAACAAAAGCCTCTCTCATTTGCTGGTAGATTGACAAAGGGCCTGACGACCCCTGGTCAGAGTCACGGGAGTCACATGACCACGCACTCCCGCACAGAAGATGAGGGGAGGTGTTCCCCATCCTACCACTCTCAGGCCAGGCCTTCGGAGCTCCTGTGATAGAACCTTCCCCTCCTCCAGCCAGGTGTGTAGGTCCTTGTTCCTACAGGAAGTAAAGACTGGCCTGGCAGCCGGGAGAGCCCAGGGAACAAGGCCTCAGGGTCCTGGTTGCAAGAGCCCTTCTGGGCCCCCTCCCAGGTCTCCCATCACAGATAACTGTCTGAGAAGGAAGTGGAGGCTGTGGCTGGCAAGGTGCCTGGGCGGCAGAAGGAAGAACAGAGCAGGCTCCGCACAGCAGCGCGGTGGAGGCGGATCTGATCGTGTCAGCACAGTGAGTACAGCAACTGAAAGTAAACCCACGTAACTTTGCAGGGGAGTGTCTCATGTTTTTTCAAAACATGATAATGATTAAAAAGAAAAAAATTAAAACTCAGAATAAGTACGTTAAAGAACTGCTAATTTTAGCCAAGACACTGGCAGAGGTTGCCAGAAGATTTGAGGAAATTAACATGAAACTAAAACTGAAATCCCTGGAGTGGAACAAACAGATCAGAAAACAGCAAACATACACACACAAAAAGCCTGCATAGAAATTTAAATAGCTAGGAGAAATTTGGAGAAGTATTTATTAATAAAATTATTTTAAAGTACTAGAAAAAAATGTGCAAATATAGTTCAATAAAATACCAGTAGGCACTTGAAAGTAAACATTAAAAACTACTTTAAAGTATATTAAATTAAAGTTTCTTTACAAAGTGATACTGCTTTTCTTTTCCACAAAAATTTTATTGATTTAGAAAGACGTAAGCTTCCTTAGAGCATATTGCAACCCACACTGAAATTACATCACACACTTTCTGAAATGTACCAGAGCTGTATGCAATAAACTTCATTTATCTGCAGGAAGTAACTTTAAGTGAAGTAACACTGATTAATGTGCACTCAGCAGTCAAAATGCAGGTCGTGCACCCTGATGAGCACTCAAATTACTCTTTCAGGGGTGAAATCTGGGAGGTTCGGGGCTGTCAGTATTCTTCATAGAGCCATCTTTTCACTAAAATGATTTGCTACTTTTGAAGTTTTGACATTCTCCTATCAATGTGCTTATGAAGGTTTTGTTTCATTTTGCTTATTTTTATTAATATTCTTTTAAAAAATTGGTTTCTTAGCTAACACCTAATTCTGTGTCTCTTTAGTCCTGTGATATCCTTCCCAGGCACCTCCTAGCCCTGTGACCTATTGCTGTATCTTAGCAAATTTCACCTGCCTGCTTATGTAAGCCATTGCAGGACTAAAACATTTTTTTTGAAAGAGTGTGACTGTGTCTGTGTTTAAATAAGCCTCCGTGTGTCTTCCTCAACTCCAGCCCCATGGTGGATGCTGTCTTACTAGCAGTTTTGTTGTTGTTGTTTTGTTTTTTAAGAAAGTACACACAATTTCAAACAGATATTATTCTTACTAAAATTAATTCAGCACTTTTGAAGTTTTCCTTGTTTTCAGTCAAATTATCCATAATAATGCCAGAGAACATGTATTGTGAGTAGTTTTATATTTAACATTGTCTGTAAGAACACTTAGGGAACGACACCTGCAAAAATGAAACACCTTTAAAGTAAATGCTTATCATTGTAAAATAACAAGGAAATGTGATTTCAGATGTACTTTATTCAATATATATCCAAAAAGAACTTATCACTATGACATTAAGTTTGGAGGGCAAATTTTAAAAAGACTAGATTACCCTCAATTCTGTTTCAAACAGTTTACATGGAGAAGTGAACCAGAAGGTCAGTGTGCAAACTATAAATTCAAGATGGTATTGTGGGAAGACTCTGGTTTCTTCCTGTGATTAAAGGACTCTTTTGTGTCATTTTTTTTCTTATGTAGCTTGCACAAATAAAAAAGTGAATTATGTTCAGTAGCCTTTTCCAAATATTGTCTTATGAAAAATACCTGATTCCTGGCTACTTGTGGTTTTAGGTCTTCTCTTCATAGGGGAACCAGAACTTCCGAATAAGCTCAGCAGTGCTGTCCGACAGAACGTTCTGCAGTGAGGGGAATGTTCTCCATCTGCACAGCCCAGCACAGTAGCTGCTGGTTCTGTGTGGCTGTTGAGCACTTAAAATGTGTGTAGCGTGGTTGAGGAACTGAATTTTTTTCTTTTACTTAATTGTAATTCATTTAAATGAAATGTAGTTGGCCGTCTGTGGCTAGTGGCTACCAGATGACACAGAGGGCTGCTGAGCTAGCTGCCTCTCACTGTTCTGCTGGCCGGCTGATAGGATGATGCAACACACCATGGGTGAACTACTTGAGGATGTTCCTGAAGGGATTTTTCAAGAATCTAAATTTTGAACAGATTTAGGAGATTCTTGAAAAGATCTTTGGGAAATTCTTCTACCTGCTGAGTTTCCTAAAAAGTCATAAAGATAGAGGATTTTGTGAAGTATTTAAAATAATACACACTGTGGTACTAATGATGAAGAAAAGTACATTTACCTCTAGGGGATCCTGAGCACGTAGCAGCAATTCAACCTAAACATGCCTAGAAGCTCCTGTTGGAAATGCAACAAAAGGTTTTGCTTGTTACTGCTCTGATAGTCCTGAAAGTCTTCACACACGTGGTCTCATTTGATTATCACAACAATCACCTTAAATAAACAGACTTCTAAGTCCACAGATCTTTTCATTATACCTGTCTACATACAAAGAGTTTTTTATACTGTAATAAAACTGTTTCTGTTACAGGGTGCAGCCAAGAGGGGGACCCCAAATGGGCATTTAAAATGGGGTCCAGAACTTAAGGTGTCCAGGAGATTTTAAGATGTTTCCATCCCCCCACCCAGGGTGTGGGTTGGGGGAAGGGACAAATGGAGCAGGGCCATTGAGATCTGTTTTGCATAGCAACAGCCTTGCAGCTACCCTCTGGTGTGGTCATTTAACATATCTATAGCCTTTGGCTGGTCGCTTAGATATGTTAAATAGCTGTGATCATCTTTGAGCCAGGAGAATGGAAGTAACTTCCTCACCAAGACGTGACTGGGGGCAGATCCCCCAAGCTACAGCGCCTGCGTGGAGCTCAGCTCGGAGAAGATTGGCTCCAGGACATGGGCCACACCTGCCCAGACTCATGATGGCAGCCCAGTAAAGCTGGAAGGATATGAATTCTGGCAAGTGAAGCCGAGTGTGGGAGGAGTCAGAAATGAGGCTGCAGAGGAAGATTGGCTGCGGGGATTTAAAACCCAGACTTGGCAGCCATTGCAAGGAGAACCATGCTGCTTTAGGAGAGAGAACCATGCTGCTTTGAGAAGGAGAGCCATGCGCATCCCAGAGAGGGAGAACCACGTGGCTTTAGCAGAATGGGGAGGACCTCAGCCATTGGGGGAGAACCATGCTGCTTTAGGAGGGAGAACCACGCGGCCTTGACAGAGTGGAGACTCCCGCAGCCCTGAGAGGGAGAACCACGAGGCCTGGACAGAGCGGGGACCCCCACAGCTTTAGAAGGGGAACCACCACCTGGTTTTAGCAGAGATCCCGGCGACTCAGCTGAGGGTGCTGGGAACCCAGGGAGGTCTCCCAGTCGAGATGGAGTAGTAACTGGGAAGAACCAGAGGACTGCCTGAGCCATGGACTTCTATTTCCTTTCCTGAGATACGGTACTCTGGACTGGGCAAAGGGGGAAGGAAGGAAGGACTGTGTCTGTGGGTGTTTTAAGGGACTTTAGGATTTTTGATGAAGACACTAGGTCACTACTTGAAGTCTGTATAGCATTAAATAAACATTTCCTTTCCTTTTCACGAATCTCTGGCATTGAGAGATGTCTTTCCTCTGGCAGCGGACATAATGGACCCGGAGCCTTCTTTCAATAATAGTATATTGTCCCAGGCCCCCCTTGTCTGTTCTGTAACATTTCTAGACCTTAGAAGAAGTGAGGTTTTCCAAATGTGAAGACAAAGTTTTTTGTAATTAGAGATTAGAGATCACAAAGTTTTTTGGTAAAAAAAAATAATAATAAATGAACGAGAAGTATGAACATACCACCATTTTGTAATGTCCTAATGCTTTATCCGGAAGAAATAATTTCACTATGCTTTTCAAAAAATCAATAAATATCATGTATTGATCACAGTTGGTTCACAGATTCACAACTTATTCATTTTTTAATCTTTATTTCTTTTATTTCAGAAACACTTGAAAATTCCATCAAGTCTAAAGTGAAGCAGCTCACCCTCAGGCAGAACTGGAACCATGAGCAACAATGGAACAGACCTAACCATCGGTTTCATCTCCTCTTCTGCAGCCATCCTTTTGTTTGGCTCAAACTATGTGCCACTTAAAAAATATAACACTGGTGATGGTAATTACTTTTTCTTCATTGTTAACCTTAAGTTATTTTTAAATACAAAGTTCTCTATTTGGGTCTTTAAAAATGATGGCTACAAAAGTAAATTTTTTTGAACGGGGTACCAAATGAATTGAGCTTAAAGTAAATCATTTGATAATGCCAAGCCAATTGATCTGAGAGGTAGTCATTGTAGGACAACCTTACGACTGTTTCATGGTAAAGCTAGGATGGATAGTCACTGAAGATTTCTGGCTATATCTGTTACGTTTACAAAAGAAGGAAGGAATTCATTCTACTAATAACACTTGTTTTGAAAACAGCAACTTCCAAAACAATTGATAGAACAGAGGACAATTTTAGTATAACACGAATTTTGTGTTTCTTTAAGTGCAGTTTTAACTCTGGTCAAACACTGGGCGAACACAGAAAACTTCATCCAGATAAATGAAGATGCACGGTAATCCATAAAATGCACTCACACACACACCCCTTAAATGTCCCCAAGCTCCTGCTGTACCACAACCTTTCTTGTCTCGTGTTAAAACATCCCGTCCACCACCTTCACAGGAGCTTCCAAGCTGCAACCCTTCTGATGCTACTTCCATAAGCAAACTTCAGGCCTTTTCATGTTATAGAGCCATATGTATTGTAGCATTTGTGAATTTCTTAACTACCTCACCAGTGCAGTAAAACTATACCATCATTTTTATTAGATTCTGATCTTTTTTTCTAACATGTTGTTGATGAAGTTTTTGTGTTGTACCCTAGCCCCAATTTCCCCATAAGCTCTATGGTTTTGACTGCATGATTTTGCATAGTGCAGTGATTTTTAGGACTGTAATGTCACATTGTAGTAGAACTGACTGTAATGAGCATTTCAGGGAAGAAGCAACAGTTCTTTCTATCTACTTGCCTTTTATATTAATGCCAGGAGAAGGGACTGGACATGTTACAGTGAACGCCTGTTAGGAAACAGATGCGTTGTCTCCCCGATTCCTTATGTCTTGATGCAACTTAGACTGAGGAATTACAATTCTTTTTCCTCTAGAGCCTTTCTTTTCCTTTGGAGTTAGAAAAGGAATGGAAACTACTAAAAGAGGAACATAAAACACACTAAGGGAGAGAGAACCTGGCTTTTCCGTGTTTCTCAGCTGTGTGACCCTGGGCAAGCCTCATCAGCTCTTTCGTTCTCAGTTCCCATATATAAAATGAAGAACTTGTAAAATGATGTCTCCTTTCATTTTTATGATCCTACATTTTTTCATCTGAAAGGTTAACAGCCATTTTTATTTTGCTCCACAGAAACAGGCAAACATCTTCCAAAGTTAGAGTCAGAAGTGCTACATTGAGTTATCACTGCCTTAGTATTTCTTTGAATGTCAATGTTTCCTTTATCTTTTTATTTTTTAATTATATTTTTCCATTACTGTTTAACTCCCTTATGCCCCCCTACCTCCTGCAATCACCACACTGTTGTCCATGTCCATGAGTCCTTTTTCCTTTCACCCAATCCCTCCACCCCCAACCCTTGATGGTGCAGAAGCCTGACAAAGGTACAGATATATTGCACATCACCACGTGTTGTTCAGATAGCTGGCAAATGGCAACCCAGAGCATAGGAGAAGAATAGCTCTGACCTAGAAGGCTAATTCTTAGGTTTGTAACATCTGGCTCATCACAGGCATTCTCTAATGGTGTGAGGTTTATGTGTGACCCTAAATGACTTTTTTTTTTTTTTTTTTCACAAAGGTGGCATAAATGATCGCCAAAGGTTGATCACTGTTATATGATTCTGAAGTTCTTAATGCCATGTTTTTGATGATGAACAGCACAAGATGAGGCATCTGAATACAAATACAGACTCGATCTTGCCAGTACTCTTTGGTAGAAAATATTCAATTTGTCTAATAGGTGGGAAAAGGTGTTAGGCAGGAATGCACTGCTTAGTAAGCTATAGGGTCAAACAACCTAGGTTTAAATCCCAGTTCTGCAAACTGCTAGCTGTTTGGAGAAGTTGCTTCATCTCAGATTCATTTTCTGTCTTTGAACTAGGGTTAATTATGATGGACAGCAATTGTGAGAATTATATTAAATATGCAAAGTTCCTGGCATACAGGCATTTGATAAATTGGTATTCCTAAGCATTAACCCACTCTCATCAGTTTGAACCACTGACACCAATTTCTTCTATTTCCAGGAATGTTTCTCCAGTGGGTACTTTGTGCTGCCATTTGGTTGGTTGCCTTGGTGGCCAACCTGATATTACATTGCCCTAAGTTTTGGCCTTTTGCAATGGTTGGGGGCTGTATTTGGGCAACAGGTAAAGTATGAAATAACTTATCATTTAATACTCTAATCAATTTATTCTGTGATTAAAAGATAACTCTGGTTCATAATAAAAGGAAATGGCACAAACAGCAATTCTGAATAGTCTGTAGTCATAGATACTAGAAATTGACAATTCAGTTTCTCTCATTTCAATGTTCCATAAATACTTTTGGTGTACTTTCTGACTCCTCTTAACAATATATTTCTTGGTCCCTGATAGAAAATTACAGCAAAAATATTACAGCTGCTCTATATCTGTTTGAACACAACTCATATATGAGTTTAAGTGCTCCGGCCTTTCTTCCTCTAGCATGTTTATCAGAAAATATTCATTAAATAGTACTCTGTATATATTGTTTTTAGGACTTGTGTTTAAATTGGGAAAGCACAGATACATTATTTCAAAAGTACCGACAAAAAACAAGAACAAACAAAAAACTTCCCTCTGTTGCCTTATCAATACCTGAAATTATATAACTAGAATTTATGCTTTTGCTTAGCCAATCAAGAATTTATAAGTAACCCCCCTAGAGAACTTTCTTCTTTTTAGCAAAGAGAAGTATCAAGGCTCTTTAAAGGTAATGTGATTAAAAGCAAGTAAATTTTAAAATGTCAAAAATTTATTGGCCACTCAATTGGAATAAATGATTTAGTGAAGTTCATGAGTTAGAGGACAAGAAAGTTAACTTTTAAATTTCCCCTAGCATTTAAATTATTATCCCTCACTTATACCTTAGTGTGATTGTATTTATCATGTCTGCTTGAGATAGAGGAACAAAGAAAGCATTCATTCATCCTGCAGATCTTGATAACCACCCCAGAGCATTTATATTCAACCAGCAGGTTCCCCTGGAAGTCAGTTGAGGAGGGGTCTAATTTTAAATATGTTGCAGATGTTGGTGTTACAGGTAATAGTAACTGATTGGATTGGACAGTAGACACAAGAGAAGCCTATGATGATGTAGGGATTTCATTGTAGGTGATCAGGAGGTTGGTGGTATCAATGACCAGATGAGGAAAATGGGGGAAAGAACCTGTTTGAAAGGGATAATGATGAGCTCAGCTTAGGACCATCTGAGTTTGAAGTCCCTGATGTTTCCTCAGTGGGGAACATCTGGCTGGAGATCTCTTATTGACAGTTGGAAGCATAAAATTGTGAAGAAGGTTCAGACTAGACCTATGTACTTAGAAGCATGCCTCTCTAGTTGATAGCTGAAATCACAAAATTAGCCAAGTGTCCAAAGTACGATATAGCAAGAGGGGGAACCTGTTTTAGGGAAAATGTTTGGTAGGTACCTAAATCTAGAGAGAAAGAGCTGAAGAGAGGAACAGGAGGGAATCAGAAGATGAAGTCATCTTGGAAGTCAAGAGAGGCAAGCTTTCCAGAAAAGATTTCTGTACTGAAGCAAGACTGCTGAGGGGCTAAGAACTATAAAAAAAAAAAAAAAATCATGGTTTTGGCCTGAATGACCCTCAAGAGAACAAAGCAATGAATCCTGAAATACAGAATATGAGTCAGTGAGGATGGAAGAGCAAGATCTGGGGTCATAATGGGCCAAAGACAGTGGCTGGCGCTGGCTCAAGTCTAAGAGGATGATCACTACTAATTTAATCATTGATGGCCACTGCAAAGACTCAGAGAACAGAGACCAATGCTAAGGTCGAAAAATATTGGTGCAGTCAGGCAAGGAGCTGTTCAACTTTGTTTTGTTTTGTTTTTTTGGCATGATTTTACTCTGAGCCTAGGTCTTTTAGCAATCATAATTATGAGTTTAATGCAAAAGTGTGGTTATTTTATCTAAAAATGAGGAATTGTGCTTACTAAATTTGGTCAAATCCCATTAGTTTCAGTTAAAGTTAAAATAAAAATTAATTCAATTTACAAATGTATTTCTTGCATTGAAAATAATACCTTTCTTCTGTATGTTACATCTACAGGGAACATTGCTGTTGTCCCAATTATCAAAACCATTGGTTTAGGCCTTGGACTCTTAATCTGGGGATCATTTAATGCCTTAACTGGTTGGGCAAGCTCAAGGTAACTCAAAACTAACTATTTCGGCTAAGATTCTCTGAGTTCATACTGTCTGTAAGATTACCGTTAGGGATTTGTCTAGCTGAGAGTAATAGCAGATGGTTCTTATCCTTTCAGAGATTGCAGCTAAGATACATGCATAAAATATGATACCCTTAATTATTATTTACACCCTAAGTTTTAAAGAAGCAAGCTAGACATTTGATCAAGATGTAGTAAAGAATTATCTCTATGAAAAAAAGTAGGGAGAGACAAAGGGAATGTTTATCTTTTCTTTCCATTGTGTGGCAATTTGTTGGGCATGTTGTATGCATCATTCTTATCTTATTTTTATGAATATATGAGGTAAACACTATCTTATAAGAGAGCTGATACTCAAAGAGGTTGAATTACTTGCTGAAGGTCACAGAGCTAATAAGCCAGGATTCAAGCCCATGACTTCTAGTTCTGAAATATAGATATTCTTCCCTCTACAGTCTGGGCCAGGGACAGCAGACCTGGGCCCAGCTTCCCAGACTTGTTTGTAAAGGAAATATTATTGGAACACAGCCGCACTGCTCCATCTCAGTATTGTCTCTGGCTGCTGCTAGACTACAGTGACAGAGCTGAGCAGTTGCAAGACACCATCCAGCTCACAAAGCCTAAAATATTTACTCTCTGGTCCTTTAAGGAAGAGTTTGCCAACCCAGTTCTAGAACGGGGCTGTCCAGTGCAGTAACCACAAGCCTCACGTGGCCATTTATATTGAAATTTACAACAGTATGGTGGCTACCAATGAGAGGGTGTTGGGAAGGGTAAAGAGGGTCAACTATATGGTGACGGAAGATTTGACTTTGGGTGGTAAACACAATGCAAGTATACAGGTGATGTATCACAGAACTGTGCACTTGAAACTGGTATCATTTTATGAACCAATGTCACCCCAAAATTTTTAACGTTGAAATTTTGTTTAAATGTAAAAATAAATAAAAAGCCAAAAAAATTAAATTAATTAAAATGTGATCAAATTAAACATTCAGTTCCTTAGTCCGTAACCGCACTGCAAGTGCTCAACAGCTATATCTACCTAACGGCGAAGCTGTGGTCCAGTGCAGCCGTAGAGAGGCCCCTAGTCCCAGGGAGTTCTGCTGGCCTGCACTGCACTGCACTGCACTGCTCGGTCAGCACTCAGACTAACATTCAAGTAGAGGGTAGAAAATGAATACAAGGGAGGCTATCACTCTTACCTTCCGTTTGGATTGCCTCTTCCCACTTAAGCACTACAACAACTTCAGTAATAACCAAACAGACTAACCTGCAATCCCTTCCTTCCTGTCCCTTTCCCCATTTCTCACCCTGCTTTTCATGTTTACTGTTTTCTTTTTTCCTTCTTTCTTCCTTTTCTCTTGCTCCTGGGTGTTTCACTGTGATTGTTGGTAATGATCACTACGATGTCAAGGTGTGAAATAAAAGGAAATTAAGGTGATGCCGAAGAATGGGAGTCTTTAACAAGCAGTTATTTACAAGTCTATTTCAAATACCATACAAAACTGCAACCAACCAATTAGCATTCAATTACCCACTTAATCTATTTTTTTTCTTCCTTCATCCTTAGTAAGAAGGGGACACTGGTACTGGTACTTTTTACATGTACTAACATGTACTAACTCATTTAATCTTCATAATAAATCTATATGGTAGGTATAATTATCCCCATTGAAAGATGGGAAATTGAGGCACAGTGAAGATAACTTATCCAAGTCACAGTAAATGAGGAACATGGGATTTGAACCTGAATTCATGCCCTTAAACACTATGATGAACACAATTTCAACAGTATCAACTAATGTGACCTTCTTAATTTCCAGGTTTGGCTGGTTTGGAATGGATGCAGAAGAAGTAGCAAAACCACTGCTCAATTACTTCGGAGCTGGGCTCTCAGTAGTAAGGTGCACAGCTATTTCTAATGACTTTGTTGTTCTTGGAAACATGTAGAGTCCTTTTTAAGCATCCTGACGTGTTTACATTTTGTAAATCCGCATTTCACAAATTGACAGAATTTTCCTCAGATTCTTCATTTGCATTGACAGACTTGGCTTGAGGGGACAGAAAGCTCCAGCTCCGGGGTCAGGAGCCCAAGCATTGGCTCTCAAAAGGTCTGAGACCCCAGGGAAAATGCTCTTTTTAAGCTCACTTTCACTATCTGTAATATTTTGAAAATCATAATGCATGGATCAAAAAATAGAATTAAATAGCACAGTAAAGTATCTTCAAGCTGAAAAATGCCATGTCAGTAAGCGTTGGGCTGGCTTCCCGAGGGCCCCGGAACAGCCATTGTTTGTCTCTTCTTCTTCTCATTCAGTCCGTGCCACCTAGCTTCCACTTCCCTGTCACCTCACCCAACTCTTCTTAACCCGGTTAGGTGACCAGATCTATTCCCTATGCTAACACACACCCAGTTAAGTGTTTGTTAGATATATCTGTGTCTAGCTGTGCACTCTGTATGAATGAGGATGAACATGACTCTGAATCTCTATTTGGCAGTGTTCAGTCAGTGAAACTCGAACAGAAATTAGGTCACCTCACATTCCATCCCTATTCCTCTCTGGACCGCATTTATATTCCCCGTCAGTCCTTCACATAATGGATAGCACTGCCTGGAAAGATTTTAGTACTTTTTTATTCTTCGGGGAAAGAGCACTCTATTTCCCTTCCCCCTGCAATGATGACTTTTCCCCAGCCACACTCAAGAACAATATCTTTGTCATTGAAATGTTGCCTTAGAGAGTGTTTTCAGGCCAATTGAAGAAGAAATAACGTTGATTATTCTAAAATAGCAGATTCCTGACATTTTTGGTTAGAGGCAATATTATGTATTTTGTACAATTCACACAGCATTCTAGCTTTGAGTAGCTCTCTCAAAAACAATTTCTTTACACCTAAAAATTGTAATGTTAGCATGCTGTAGTTTTGACTTAATGGCGATTTAAGACCAGTTTACCCACTCACCAGGCATGGTTTTTCTCCATATTCTCTTTCTTTATAAAATGTATATTCTCTAAAATTACAGATTATTCATGTTCTACCACCTCTACTTGTGTGACCTTGGGCACATCACTTAATTTCTCCAAGCTTTGGTTTCTCTATCAGAGGATAAATTTGGAATAATAATTGCATCAGCCTCATAAAATATTTTGTGGATGAAATGAAATAAAATATGTTAAGTTCTTTGTATAGTGCTATTGTTCTATATGCTGGGTAATTTTTATCATGACAGTCATTATTTCTAATAACTATTTCATCTGCAATCACGGTTTCCCCCTTGGATGTACATTGGCCAACTCTACAGTAAACTAGTCGCTGCACCCGGGACTCCTGCGGCTTGGTTTGGAGCTTTGTCTGTGGCTGGAAAATGCAATGATCTCTTTTCCTACTGCATCCTGCCTCCCTTCTATGCTTCTTTACTGCAAGAAGTATCTGGAGCCTTTTATTCCATTATCTTAATTCAGTTAAATCAGTTTGTTCTGGAGAGCATCCATTGAATAAGCTTGGAGCTTCATGGTTAGTATAAGGAAAGTTGGAATATGATTCCACTAGCTTAAATGTTGCTTTTCTTTTTAAAATTGAAATTATTGCTTCTGTACAATTCAGTTTTTAAAGGATTGGGTAGATCATTTCTAGCCTTCCATTTTCCATGTGTGATGTCTAAGGTAACTATTAGTCTCTACAACCAAAACTGCTCCAGGTATTTTAAATAGCAGAAGATTTAACAGAGGGGATTGTTTACAAAAGTGTCATGAGGCCCAGAGGAGCAGGAGAAAGGTGATGCCACTGTGTACCCTGGCGCGCCCAGTCTGGCCAACACCACTGAAAAAATTGCCTCTGTCCTGAGCAATGGCTACTACAGAAATTTCTGGAGCCATCATCAAAACAAAATGGTATCTCCCACCTTTTAATCCCATGCATATCCCTCCCATTGGCAAAACCTAGCTACCAATACAGTCTGAGAAAATGCAGTGTTCCATCCTCTAGACCCCATATTCAGGAGAGAGTATCCATGGGTGAAGTGGAGCTGACACCAAGAAACAGTGTCCAGGACACTTTGGGTATGTTTTAATGAAGATTCAAAAGTCAGAGTTCATAAAAAGACAGATTTTCTTTTCTATTACAAAAGAAATGTTCTGGATTATCCTTGAGTTTACTCTCCATTCTCTTCTCACTTAACTGGAGACTTGTGTTGTGAGGAAACCCAGATCTTTGTTTCTAGCCATTACCTTTCTTCAGAGCCACAGTCCTCACGTCTCACTCCAGACCAGGCTAGACACCTCTGCATAGATGCCTCCCAGGCATCTCCCACTCAGTCTCAGGAGAGACAACCTGTGCATGGGGGCCCTGCTAGTTCAGGGATGGTCAGAGACAGAAGTCCATGTGGGGAGTTGTGTGATGAGTTGGGCAAAATGCAGAGACCAATGAAAATCAAAAAGGAAAGTTAAATTTCCAGTGGAAATTATTATGGAGCCATTCAAGTTTTTTAAAGCAAGTAAAAGATTGAACTAAGGAAGCTATCTAGAAAACATTTACTTTTTACATGAAAAATAGCCCATGATATGCACTTTTTTGTACTTAGCTACCTACACTGTTTCAGTCCTATATGTACTCTGGAAAAATTATATATTGTTGTAACTTTTGAACCATGCAAAGGTATTAAAAAAGAATGTTAAAAGTGTATCAAAGTCATGAGTTTTCTTACATTGATTTAATATTTTAATATGTTTGCATGGTTCAAAAGTCAAGAGTAAGTGAGATATTTATTGCAAAGATTTTGGACATGAATAGACAGTGCATTATGAGAGATGTTGAAGGGGAAAAAGTCATTAGGCTATGCACATGCTTTTATATCTTAAAATACATTCTAGAGGTCTTTGTTTATCAGAGCATAAAAGGCATCCTTTTTATAGCTGCATAGTATTCCATTGTATGACCATGAAGGTCACCTTGCCTGAGCGTGGAGGCACCTGTGTTATAGGTCCTGGAACATATTGGTAAGGCCAGGAGTGGGCACACCTGTGGCTTTGGTAGATGGCCCCACAGTCTCCTCCATGGGAGTTGCACAGTTCCGCACGCCCATCAGGGATACCTGTCTCCTATAGTTGTCCAACTGAAGATGTCATTAAATTTGGGGATTTTTTTTTCAACATAATAGGTAAAAACTATTATTTCAGGGTAGTTTTTATTTGTATTATTTTACCTTGTAATACCAGGGTTAGGCCGGAATAAAAAGAAAGATGGAGACACTGACTGAAACAAGAAAATCAGGAGAAAGATCTGATTGAGGGGAAAGCTTATGAAATTAGCTTTTAACCTGCTGCGGTTAAGGACAATGAGAGGCACCAAAGAGAATGGCGGTCCTGGAGAGAGGGCAGGGCCCCTGCAGAGGCAGTTTGGAAGTCATCATCATGCCAGTAGAACTTGACTTAAGCTGTGTTTTTCCTTAAAATTCAAGCAACTTGATATGAACCAGGGTTCGTGATAAATATCGCTAACATTTATCTTCTTTACAGTGCCTTCATATTCTTCTTCATCAAAACTGAAGTACCAAAGAACACATATTCTGTGGACACCACACCATTAATGACAGAGCATGTGAGTACAGTATGGGAGACAGTGTGCTTTGAAACATAAAATTAAGGTAAAAGGAAAGTACGTAGATTTAAAAGAAAAATGGGAAGATGATGTTTTTTGTTTTTTATTTTTCCAGTCAGAGTTATCTAAAATATTTATTCCAACTAAGTTTATGTAGCAATCAGTATTTCTCCAGGAAAGCTTCTCAGCAAACACAGAAGTCTATTTATTTTTACTAACAGTAGAGTCCTACTAGAAGCTGTACATGCAAGCCCATATTTTGGAATGATTTAAGGGTTTCTACAACAGGAAGGCCCTGAATATTGCAGAGAACTATGAAAGTTACTTTAGAAAGGAGGAAGGAGGAGGCTTTTAACCTAGGCCCAGGGCCAGATAGATCAGAGGAAGCCAATGAAAGTGTAAGTCATGTCATACAAAAGTAGGAATTGCACTTTATTTCTTTCCTATTTCTGTTTTCTGCCACATCCTGTTCCACCCAAAGGTAAAGATAGGAAATAGGTAAGCAGTGACTGTGTTGACTTCGATGACCCGAAACTGATCTGGAAGAGCAAATCTAGATTAAATGGGAACAACGTTTAAAAGAGACGTGACACCGCAGACGTGCCGTGGCTACTTAGATACAGTGGTTTTAAGGCAACCCCCCATCGCTGGGAGCCCCGTTGCTGAAGGACTAGAGAGTCCTTCCTCTTTCAAGTACCTTTTCTACCTGCAGACGGCTCCGCGGTCTCTGGTTGATGCTGAGTCTGACATTTCACACCTGCAGGGAGTATTGCCTTCCTGGAAGATGCTGCCTCTCTACTCCTTACTTCCAAATTAATCTTTTCTTCTCTCTTCTCCTATCAAAACTCTTATCCGCTAAGATGACTGAACCCTCAGTGAAACTGACACTCAGGTTAAATAAAATCAGTTAAGTGTAAGAGAAAAGAGATTCATGCATCCAGAAGCATCTCTAATCAGGGAAGTGTTTTCATGCGAATGGAGGAGTCGGGTGAACAGAAGTTGTCTGGTGTTCCTTGCCTATTTTAAGGTTCCAGGGCTCCTTGCCCTAGGGTTCCTTGCCTATTTTAGGGCTCCTAACCAAATACCCTTCAAACAAAGGAACAAAAAATTAAAATAACATAAATGCAATTTGTTGGTAGATAATCTGGAAGAGCAAATCTAGATTAAATGGGAACAACGTTTAAAAGAGACCTGACACCGCAGTTGATCAGTCCTGACATTCTAATACATAGTAGGTTAGATTGTTCTGGGAAAAATGGAAGTATACAAGTAAACCAAGTTTAAAGATGCATAAACAGCACGATCAGTTAGTATGCAACCCTTCAGCATGATCTCCTCACTTATCGCCAAAGGAAAACTTGACTTAGCACATGACAAAGAATTCAGATTGAGTTTCTTATCTCTTACAAAAGCAGGAGGAGTGTAACAGCAAGGAACTTCAGCTAAGAGATGAAGCTGATTACATACAATAATAGAAATATGTTTTTATCAATACTTTCCATAATTTGTCCTGATTTAGAATATTAGCCTAATCTTGAAACACGGCTAGAACTTGTTTACTAATTTCAGTAAAAACAAAATTTTCTGAATAAAAATATGCCTATCAATCTAAGGCAGTCCATAGGAGAGTCTGAGTTTTCCTTGGCTCTCATTTCTTTGCAGATTATCAAAATATGCAAATGAAATAAGCATTAATAACTTTTATTAATTTTGATAGGTATATCAAAATAACCATATGTCAAAACTGTAAAAAAATTTATGTGGACAACTTACCAACTACCAAACCATTCTGAATTACAGAGGATAAGAATTGGAAACAATTGGATAAGAGATTGCACAGAATCAGAACACTTAGTATAAAATGTTCACATTTTTAAGTATGTTTGAAAGAGTCGAGAAAAACACTGAAAATCTTTTTGTCACCACTGTGATTAACAACCGAAGGCTGTTTTGGTTTTGGTTTGTGCTGATGTTTTCAACAGGTGACCAATGGCGAAACTCAAGATCCCTGTCCTGGTTACTCCTGGGTGGACAACCTTTCCACCGTGCACTCCCGCATAGTGTAAGAGGTTCTATTACCCTGTCTGATATTTGGTTGAAGCAAGGATTACCAGAGTGAAGTGATGTTCATCTGAGTTCAAGGAGAACGTGGTAACACAAACTCTGACTTTCTTAGCTCCTTGGTGAAGAGCCTTTCTTGGGCCCTGCTGAATTTTTAGATACAGAGGTCCTCGGTCTCGGTGCGTCTAGGAATTCCTAAGCTACTCGAGTTATTTCTGCAGCATTATATTCCTTAAAGCTCTATGAAAATAGACTTTAAAAATTTGTTTTTAAGTTTGGAGAGGAATGGTTTTGCCTAAAACTCTCCCCTGTTCCCATACCATTTCATTGTCCTTTTGTATTAAGTTAAAGGGACTGTTTCAAAACACTAGTCACCTCCCCTCAGAATCAACAGAAACACTGGCTTCATGGCAGATACCAAGTCCGAGGAGTCACCAGGACTCCAGTGCTTAAAATGAAACATGTCCTTCTTACAAAGGGTAATGTTTTACCTTAAATACTTAGAGTATTTTATTAAGGCAGGACTTCCTCTTGACCATGTCGTAGTCAAATAAGATGCAGGAAAATCTATGGAGCTCCACAGTTGTTTTGAACAGCCTCTGTTTAGAACTTAACTCTGGCCTGGCCCTGTGCTAGATGTCATGCAGGGTTTTTAAAAACAGAATAGGGCTCAGTGTCAGTCCACAGATACTTCAAAATGTAATTAGAGAGCCAGGTTTATTTATGGAGGCTGTATAATATGATAGCAACATTCTCATCTGTGTAATGACAATTTATATTAAAAATCGGTATATAACTTCTATAAATCATGTGTTTCCAAGATTAGACAGTGGAGGACCGATGCTGCTCTCAGTCCTGATGCCACTTTGACCCTGTGGAGTTTCTTTAACTTGTGTCAGCCACAGAGCTCAAGAGAGAGGGGCGATTGTGGCATCATTGCTTGTGACTTACGCTTTGAAGCATGCCTTCATTATGATTCCATTTGTGTGTTTGTCAGAAATAGTGTTTTTGACCAAGGTTAATAATGATTTATTTGTGTTTTAAGGGGCTGCAGTCTTGCAGTGATATCTGGAATACTCTATGGATCAACGTTTGTGCCAGTCATTTATATCAAGGACCACAGCAAAAGAAATGACAGTGTATATTCAGGAGCAAGCCAATATGGTGAGAGTAAAAAGCTATTTTATTTTATCAATAAACTCAATACCTCATTTTCTACTTAAGAAAGATGAAGGGATTAGACCTGGCTAGTGTGGTTCAGTGGATTGAGCACTGGCCTGCAACCTAAACGTCACAGGTTCAATTCCTGGTCAAGGCACATGCCTAGGTAGTGGGCCAGGTCCCCAGTTGGGGGCGTGTGAGAGGCAACCATTCACTGTATCTCTCACATATAGATGTTTCTCTCCCTCTGTTTCTCCCTCCCTTCCCATCTTTCTAAAATAAATAAAATCTTTAAAAAATGATGTTTATAAAAGGTGAAGGGATTAAGCAAAAAAGAAACAAACAAACAAAAACTCGTAGACCCAGACAACAGTATGGTGATTACCAGAGGGAAAGGGGGTGGGGGGAGGTAGAAGAGGGTAAAAAAGGATAAATGGTGATAGAAAGAGGCATGACTTGGGGTGGTGAGCACACAATGTGATATACAGATGACGTATATAGAATTGCACACCTGAAACCTGTATCATCTTATTAACCAATGTCACCCCAATAAAAGCACTAAAAACGAGTGTGATCATAGTAAATATTGCCACATAGATTTGATCTTAGTCTTTCATTGTAGGAGGTGAATTACAAAGGCACTAAAGGCTAAAAGTAATAAAAGCCTGTTGGAGTATTTTCATACAAATATAATCTCTAATATACAAATATAATCAACTTCTGTCAACGTTCATTTCCTACTGGATCTAAACACACAGTTTTCAGGTTTACACTAAGATCTGGAGATTATTTTCTGGTTAGATGATTTCTGGGAAAATATATATTCTTATTTTCTTTTAAAAAAAAAGCTAAACTTGAGTACATAGTACTTTAAAATCAAGTAAAAGTCAAAGTATAGGCTTCCTAAAGGTCAAAATATAGCCTATTTAATCAGAGGATATTATTTTTTAAGCACAGAGTGGAACTTTGAAATGCCTACACAGTGCTCCTTAATAATCTGTTTCTAGTGACAGAATTAATTTCTTAGGCATAAATTCAACACCATGTGCAATAGCCTCATGAAGGCTCAAAAAGAGGTGGAAAGTGTCTACTTCAGAGGTCCTGTAATTACGTTGAAACATGACTTACATTCGTGACATGATAAAAGGATGAGATCATGGATAATAAAGTTCTAAATTGGATGGTACATAACATTAATGTGATCAGTGCTCAGGTAAGGGAATAATGTGGACCGCCAAAGTCTGGGGGTAAGATTGGTGAAAAGGCTGGAATTTAACTCAACTTTAAATGAGTAGACAGACCTTGAATAGGTACCACAGTTGCCTTCTTCCTTTTTATATTCAGCTCCATAAAAAATAATCAAATCCTTTTATTCTCTTTTCCTTTAGATTTTATAAAAATTCTTTTCATATTTAAAGAGTAAAAACTAATAAAAATAGAACATAGAATAAATTTTAAAAGAAAAACAAGAGTGAAAAAATAAAATGTAACCAGAAATTAGTCTAAAAACTATACCACACTTGTACACTTGACAGAAATGAGCCCTAAATCTGGCTCTGAGATTTCTTATAGTACCAGAGAAGTCAGACCAGTGCCACAGTTTAGTGAGCACAAGATAAAAACAACTAATTGTTCAGGAGTACAGTTGTCCTTAGTACTGGGATATAATAAACAATGTCCTTAACAATTTCTTCACATAAGTAGTACAGTCAGTTCTCAGGGAGCTTTCTGATGACAACTCAAATGTAGTCTGAAAGGAACACACTTTATGAAAAAATAATTCTGGAGGGGCATAATTTTTTTATTTCATTTATTGAACAAACACATTAGTAGTACATGCGCTGATAGACACTCTTCTAAGCACATTACAATAATAAATCATTTGTAGCAATTGTTCCTGCTTGAACTGCATTATTATTTTTGTTTTATAATTGAAAAAATTTAGACAGAGGGGTAAATTAACCAAGTCTCAAAGATAGCAAGTAGTGGATTGAGAATTGCTATGCAGCTGATTTGCGCTTTTAAAAATTTTTTTAAGTCTTCATCTGAGGTTATGTTCATTGGTTTTAGAGAGAGGAAGGGAGAGAGAGAAACATCGATATGAGAGAAACAAGAATCAGTTGCCTCCTTAGGCACCCCGTCCAGGGATCAAACCTGCAACCCTTTCGTGTACTGGATGGCGCTCCACCAATTGAGCCAGCTGGCTAGGGCTGGTCTGTGCTTTGAATTGTTTGTTGTACTGTCTTTGTCCTGGTGCATAGATGGGTATGTTGTTCTTATATGATCCAGAAGTGGGACTTCATGTTTTTGAAGAATAGATAAACTCTTTGATCTTTTAAACTTTCCTCCCTAAAGATGGCCATTTATGTTAGTCATAGTTTTAGTTGAGAGAAATATTGAGTCCAATGTGACCTTCCCAGCCCAAACCTACCTATCTTCATGGCCAAAGTACTATCTACTTAAACACTCAGTGGAGATGGGTTTCTCAGACATTGGGTGACCATCACATGTCATTATATCCCTCATGGAATTAGGTTTATAGTAAACAATCGAATAAAACTCACTTTGGTGTAACTTCATAATATTCTTCTATATAGGTGTCGTCTGCAACAGAGATACTGGTCTCCAACTCAATCAATAGATCGTATAAAATTAGCGGTCCCCCCAATTTTTCACACCCACTCCCACTACAGTCTACTGGAAATGTGCTACAATTGCTGTAGCCATTAGTGAAATTAGGTCTGAATACCTATTCTTAAAAAAAGAAGATATTGTTTGTTGTTTAGCTTAGCTTTCCAAAATAATCATGAAGATGAGTCTTTTAGATTTGATTATAGTAACTAATTTACTACTTAATATTTCTAGGTTTTAAATATGTTAAATAAAATTCTATATAAAGAGCATGTAGAAAACTAGAGTGATAAAATTAATGGTTCTTTTATGTTTAAGGTTAATTTTAGTGAGTTTGTTTTGTTTTAGAACTCTAGTTATATTTGAAATGACTAAAATGATACACTTGAGAGTTTTGTAATCTGTATTTTCAGATTTAGACTATGTTTTTGCACACGCTAGTGGCATCTTTCTTACAAGTACGGTCTACTTTCTGGCTTACTGTGTAACCATGAAAAATAATCCTAAACTATATCCTGAAGCAATCTTGCCAGGTAAGAATATTTACTACAAAAAATCTTCTTACTCTATGAAAGTATCATTCTTTACTTGTTTAACTTAAATAATCATCTTCTGGAAACCAAGCCATCCTGTGTGTGTGTTTTCACTCCCTTCATTGCTTTGGCCCAGTTCACCAACAAATATGAAGAATTTAAAAACCATGAAACTAAATATAAATTGCTCATCATTATTGTAAAACTTAAAACTTGAACGATGAAGCTAAGATCATTTCCTATGCCAAAGCAGTGTATATTGACTGTCACACTTTATTATTTCTTCTTTACTATCTAAGAATTTCTATAAAAGTCAGAGTCCTGTGACTTTATTTTTTTTGAAAGTATCAACAAACAGGAATCTGCAGTCACGTGGGAAAGCGAACATTTTTTCCAAAAATTAAGAAGAAATTGTTTTAGAGCTAAAAAATGTATATGTTAAATATACATGTTTTTGGACTTAATCCATTAGCCATTGATGGTAAAATATATATAATTTCTCATTTATGATTTTGCTGCAGTTCAATTTATGGAAGTATGTAAGTAAAATTTTTTGTAGAACAGACTAAAACATATATGAGAGACTCATTTTTGAGTGCCTGATTGATTTAAGCCAAAGTATGCCACTATAGTGGAAATGTTATAGAAAGTGGTAGAATATTTACTGAAGGCTTAGTTCAATTATCATGAGATTTTTAGCTGCTGTTTTCATTCCAACTCTAGGAGCTTTTTTCCTTAGGTATAAGCATCATTCTGAATTTCACTTGTTTTTATGTTCATGGTCTAGAGTAAATGGTGTTTGCAGAGCATGTTCAGATCTAGTATCTTCACTAGCGCCCCCTCCACTACCCAATCGTTACTTAACTATTACTTTGGGTACTTTATTTAATGTCAGTAAAGTGAAAGGATTGATAATTATACCCACAGCAGTCAACAGCAATCAGTGGTTTCCAAAATAATCATCATAAAGCATATGTCAAAAATCCATGTTGGCCAGTAACGCTGAGAGGAACGCATCGATCTGTGTACTTTAATATTCCTGCTAAATCTAGAGTGCGGCTTTTTCCAGAGGGCAGTGTGGTTTGTAAATGCGTGGTGTCTGTGTGTGTTTCAGGATTTCTGTCAGGACTACTGTGGGCCATAGCTTCCTGCTGTTGGTTCATAGCTAATCACTCCCTGAGTGCTGTGGTTAGTTTCCCGCTAATCACTGCTGTAAGTAGCTGAATTGTTTTTCCAATTCTTTCTCTTTTAATGTAAATCTAGTTTTTCTGAAGCATTCTTAGTGAATCACTGAAGATTGTTATAGAGCTTTATTGTTTAGGAGGACAATTAGTATAGTAGATTCATGTGAATAAACTGATAGATGCCTTCTAATCTCATGTCCTTGATTGCCAAGAGAACATTGCTAACTTCGTTTTAGGTTTCTTCATCTTTGATATCCTTGCAGTGTTTATTTGGTCATTTTACCTAATGTCATTTTAGCTATATCATAACTTGCTATTTATAACAATAACCATCTCTATATGACAGTTTATAAATAGAAAAGTGCTCTTGTGAAGATTATCACCCTTGAGTGACCTGACAACCTGTGAGACAGAAAGTACTTCCTACTCGTCTTCACATGAAACTTCAGTATTTTTAAGGAGGGCTTTCAGAAAGTGCTAAAGCGAAGTATTTTCTCTGCGTAATGCCATTTAATGTGGCATACGTCATACAATTTGCTTCATCTGGCTGGGGGGAGGGGTTTGGCACTAATTATGTAGTACATAGGTAACAGAAAAACAAAAACATTTCTTTCGACATAGGCAGGACAAGTATCAATAGGATTGTCCCCGTTTTTGAAGATGAGAAAATTGAAGCTATCGCCAACAGCGCTGTCAGAGTGAGAAAGCCAGGGGAAATCTCAAGGCAGAATTCTAAGTACAGGGTTTCCAGTGCACAGTGCTCCATTTTGCCACATTTTGCCATCAGTGTAGAATCCAGCTTAGAGTTTGTTTCAGGTTCATTATGGTAACAGGACTGACATATACACCCAGGAATGAATTGTTTTAATGTTGGGATCTTAGGTCCACTCTGGGTATTTGCAATTGCTGACTGGTTGTTCACCTGTATCCCTTGCTTCTTAAATCATCATCATAAATAAAATTTGCCTGAAATGTTTTATCAGCCCACCTGTGCAAACCTAGAAAATGGGTTTTTTTAAAAACACATTATCTAATCTAAAACATATTGCATTAAAGTTTGAAACATCCTTAAATTTTAATATAAATTCTGGGTTTCAAGCTATATATTTTTGACAGTTTTATTGTGTTCATAAAATAGTTAGCTTTAAAGTACAACTAAATTCAAATAAACTAGTTTTTTAATATAAAGAACTCACATTTTGACATCTTTAATCTCTGCTAGGGGAAAATGTTATTGAAATCAATCATGTTACAGGGATGTTTTTAGGTTTAAGTCCTCATCATTGGAATGGCAAAGGACCCAAATTTTTCCCACAAAGGAGTTTGTTTCTCATCATTCCAGGGTTATTTAATGCTAGAAGTGACCACATAACACAGGGAAATATAATGGACAATGGGGTATAAAGCTTACCAGCTAAATACTTAAAAGTAAATTTGCATTGAGAAGTATACAGTATGATAATTCTTCTCAAGTAGGGATACAAATGTTATATTCTTGAACAATGGTGGGTTCCCCAAAAAGGATTTGAAATTATTTTATGTAAAATATACATATGCAATCAAGTCACACAAGGCAAATAGAAATACAAACACAGAACATCAAAACTATAGTAAAAATGAGAAACAAAGCAAATAGCACAAGGGGTAAATAGTTATGATTAAAATTGTTTTGCACATGTAAAAGGGGTAATCCAATGGGGTAGCTAATTATTTTTGACTGACAATATATTATTTTCTCAGAAAAGACAACTATTTTCTAGCATTAAATTTTAAATAGAGTTTATAATATGGGGCCTTTTACAAGGAAAATTGAACAACAATAAATAAATATTTTTATTTAAAAAAATACAGTAGACAGAGAGATAGATTTCCAACCACTGTTTCTTATGTCAAAATTTTGGGAAAGACTTAAGGCAAAACATTAAAACCTAGTTCAATGGAAATAAATTGCTGAGGTAGAAGGCGTGAGCAGAGGGGTCAACAAGAGGGCTTTTGGAGACTTGCCTGTCAAAAGAATTATTCTTGAACCATTGGATATAAGCACAGTCATCCCACCCAGCGGGTACAGCTTCCTGGTGCTTGAGGACTGTTACCTGGGAAGGGCAGGTATTGCTGGGAGATGAGCAATAGGTCCTTACTGCCACTGTGTTCTTAACTTGGTTTTACTTTTTTGTTACTCTGTGTAAGACAACCTTATCAATGTGCAAAAAGGATTCAGTCCCTACCCTCAAAGATATTACATTCTTTTTAATTTTATTTTCCTAGCAGAGTAGATTTAATATTTTCTAATGGAAAATTTCAAATATACCCATCACCAGCTTCAATGATTATAAATATGATCATTCTTATTTTTTCCAAAAAGCACATTTTTTTGAATCCCAGTAGCTCTGTTTTTCCCAGGTACATATATTTCCATTGTTACTTATCTATTGGTGAGTAGATTATGAGTTCCTTGAAATGGAATTTGTACTGTTTATTGGCAAATAACATTCAATTAAAAAGCAAAAAAAAGAAGAAGTAGTAACAAAGAAAAGAAAAAACCCACACAGCATGAGGAAGGACTTGCTACCTCTGCTCCCAGTCTTCCCTGGAAGTCTAAAAGCTGAATCCACCCTTAAAGATGTCTCACCTTGTCTTCAAAGATTGATTTACAAATGCAATTTGTATAAATTTACAAAAGGAAAATACACAATTCCAATTGTCAAAACAGGTGTAACTCTTACCTAGGATGCCCTTCCGCTTTGGCTCTCCTTCAGAGTCCGCACACACTTTCACTTAGAACAGCATCAGCCAAGCACCACTTCCTATGACCACATTACTCATCACAATAACCTTTAGGTGCTGTCTCAGCAAATATTTAGAAAATCATCAGCCAAAAGGCCTCAAAGATCAATGATACCCTTTTGGTATTATCTTCTACCAAGTACTCTGAAGGGAAATGAATTTCCTGACTAAAGAGGATAAAATTTTTAAGCAAATGGCCCGATACATTAATATTATATCCTCTGGTCTATTGTTTTGTTCCATCCTGTCCAAAGTCAGTGTGGACCCAGATGCTTTTTGTCTGGCTTGGATTTTGAGCCTTAGGACCTTACCTCATTGATAACAAACAGTTCCTTTGACCTATTTCTCTGGCTCTTTTGATGTAGACTTTTCCAGATGCTGACAGACGGAGAGCAATGTATTTTTATTACTTTGCCTGCACGGCAGGAGTGAGTCTGACTTGGCTGACCCAGTCATGCAGACAGTGGAGAAGCGGAGGAGGGAAAAACATACTGGAATTGTTTATTTAAAACTTCCAGGGTTTGTGCAGGCTTCAAAAGGAATCATAAAAATGCTAATGCAATACACCTTCTCTACAAAAACCATGACTATTTCAAATTCCTATTTTTTCCCTTCTCAGCTAAAAAAATAATAATAAGACTCCAATACCTTAAGTTTTCAAATTGCACCCTCATCCTTTTTTCCCCATCTCCTTTCTTCTCATGTCCTTTATATTATTTTATTTCAGTCTTTATTTCCTGTTCATGAACCCATTATTTATTTTTCCTTACATGGTTTTTCTCTATTCCCATAGTACTAGTTTTAACATTTATAAGAGTTTAAAGTCAGATAGAGTTGATCACTCTGAAGTAGTATCATCTTTTTTAAATTTTAAAATACATGCTGCTTCCATATGTACATTATTTGTCAGATCCAAAAGAACATACTAAAATTTCTTCAGTTATGAGATTATCTTACCCAGAAAAAGTTGTAAATTTCTTCAGACACTTTTTCTTATTAATCCTAGTTCTAGTACCATAAGTAACTAATACACTAGAAAAAATAAACTACTTATTAAAATATTTTATTATAAATAGAATACATTAAAAAAGCATTCTATAACACCAAATATAGCATGATCAAAATAAAAATGAGAACCATAAAGAAAAAATAAATATAAAAGCCTCCATATTTTACCTAATGTGACTTAGGTTAATTTAATGTTAAGTTAGGGTTGAGATTATTTCCCTGACAATATTGTTATATTGCTTTTACAATAGAAAGTTATATGGTTAAAGTATCAGTTTAGCTCTCCAATTTAGAGTACAGCCACAGAAAAATAACTGATTTAATTAAAGTTTTCTTTTAAGGGTCCAGGATTTGTAGCTGCGTTGTGGGGTGTCTTCATATTTAAGGAAATACAGGTAAGTACAAGAAAGGGCAGAATCATAAAACAGGTGTAGATCCATGTACAAAGGGGATTTAATACTGTCTGGGTTATTTTCTGAGGACTGCATGTAACTACTGAACCCAGTGCAGAAAACTCATGAATAGAGGTGACAGGTCAGATGGTCAAAATGTTTTTTCATCCCTAACTAGTAAAGAAAATAATAAAAAACTAGTAAAGAAAATAATAATAAAAAATAAAGATAATTATTATAAAACATGTTTCTACCCCAGCCCCTAGGGGAAAAATGCTTTAGTTGTATTTCCTCATATTTCCATAAGAGATTTGGTTAAATAATTCAATAAATTATGATCCAGGGAGATTTTATTTTGTGTAAAACATGGTAGATCAACAAAAAAAGATTTTTTTATTCCCAAAATTAAAATAACCCTGAGGCAAATGGAATTTGGGGATAGACATTCCTGTGGGTTCTCCTGCCTCCCCATGGCCTCCATATCAAACCAGCACCTTTGCAGGACAAGTGACTCCTGCCTCTTCCTTCTCCAGTGCCTTCAACACTCTCTCCAGGCATCACAGGCATAATACTTTCTGTCTCAATATGCAGCTGTATAGCAAATAGTTCCTGGTTCTAGAAGATCTGATCTTGGTAGTGTCTGGGGACCATGAAGTGAACTATGTCCCTGGCTAATCCTTAAAATGATCCTTCAATTTTAGATTTAAGAAATCATTTCTTTCATTCTAAATGACATATGTTGATTTAGAAAGGCACAATTTGATAATATAAGCTTCTCAGATGAAGTAAACATGTTTAGAAGATACTTGGACCATGATCTTAATTTTTTTTTTAATACCCAAGACAACTTTAAAAATGTATAGACTCATAAGTTACTTTTATGCAAATGCTTCTCATTTATTTTATAGTTAGGGTTGCTTTTCACAAAAATAATTCTATCCCCATAACATGCTCTAAATCTCTTTGCAAATATTTCATCTGCCTTAAAAGCATAATGATTTCTATTTAACAATTATTAGTCAGCATAACATTCTGAAGCCTTAGAAAATCACAAGTTAGTGATCAGAACTTATCTGCAATTAAGGGGTAGAGAAGCACAAACTAAGAACAGATTTATTTTAAGCTTTTGAAAATTATTTTGCTTACTACTACAGTAATAATGATACTGAATTAAAAATCCATTTTTCTAGATGTAAGAACTCCCTCAAGAGAGGAAACCTCAAGCCATTAAGCTTAGTGTTAAATCCCCAGAGTCCTCTAAAAAGATGCTAAAAGACACTCAAAGAGTTTTGTTTTTTTTTTAAGATATCTTCAAAAATACAGACCAAGCAGAGGAGGAACCTGTGAGAATGATAAGCCCTGACCAAGTAGGGCTTAATTCAGGAATGCAAGGGTAGTTGATAATATGCAAATTAATCTAATTTATTATAATATTAAATGGGAAAACTATGTGATAATATATTTTCAAAAGGCATTTACTAAAAATAAAAACCAGTTTTTAAGTAAGAAAATAGCCTCTTAGTAAAGCTATAAATAGGAGGAAGCTGCAGATAAGATGTCTAGTAAAAACAACAAATACATAACTAAGGTGAAACACAAGAGTTCTCTATCAATTATTCCTCAACAAAACTGATATAAAGAGTTCTCATTGGCTGGAAGGAAAAGATTTTTCTATCCTTGCCATTATTCATTATTTTCTGGAGCTCCTATCCAGTGTGGTAAGATAAAATCAAGAATAAGAGGAATAGATATAAAAAGGAAATGAGATCATTGTCATCTCGATGTCGTGTTATAGTCTTTAAAATTTTGTGAAAGTCTTATTATCCAATAAGATCATTTACTAAGGTGCTTATAGATAGCATAAATATAAAATCACTGTCCTTCTAATATGCCACTAATTATCAATTACAAAGTGGAAAATGGACACTATTAATACCTACCGTGATTATAAAAATATATGAAAATAATTAACAAGAAGTATGCTAGATTTATAAAACGTTTTACTTTATCACAAAAGTTTACGAAAGGACATAAATGAAAATCAGAGCAAATGGGAAGACTCACCATGTTCCTGATGGGAAAACTCACTACTGCTCCTAAGCAGTTCCCTCCAGGTACACTCACTGAGATTCCCATAAAATCCCAATGGCATTGCTTCTGGAATTTAGGAGTGAGTGTTAGTGTGGCCACGTGTGTATGTAAAAACAGAGGGAGGGAGTGCCAAACTGAAAGCAAAGAGTAAGTTTTGTTTATCTTCCTAAAGTCAGAAAACCTTACGCATCTCATCTGTCTACAAACAAAGCTAAAAGCATGTCCAGTGACACTTACCATTCAACACAAGTGCCTAGCTACCTCCTAACAACTAAGCTGAAGGCAGTTTTAAATACTTTACATGCCAATGAGTTTAAGAAAAATTTATCAGCTCAACACTGAACTCAGAATCCTATCAGAATTAAAAAATGTATTTTTCTTAGAAACAACGTAAAACCCCTAGGTAAAACAAAAGCAAGACATTATGACTTTTAGTCCATATCAGTTATGTCTTGAAGCAGTCCTTGCGGACACAGTTAAAAGTGTACAACCTGCAGCAGTAAGAGCTGAATCGGAGACCCAAGCACTTCTGAGTGAAAGAATGTAATGATTTTATTTAGTTTTGATGCCGCCAGTGCTCCAGAGGGATGCTTTGCACACCTAATACTCTTTCATATCTTTTGTATCTGTTCCTCTTTCGGAAGTTTGCTTTAGAATTTAATGTTTAGCTATTTTAAGCCAGGTGTTCACTATATTTTTAGCAACACTTTTTTTTTAGTGTATCTACAGTAATCCCAATGCAGGGGATTATTACCGCAACAATTTATGGATCAGTAGCTCCCCTCAGATAAAGAATGAGTTGTTTTTTTATCTCAATAGCTGTTTCAGAAATCCAAGTTAAAAACTTTTTGCTTTGAGGAGAATGTTAGTGTGATCTTTCTAAGAGCTAGCATTTATCTTTGACCAAGGAAAACTATTACCCAAATAAAATCAATGTTTTCCCCCTAGGAGACTAGGCAATTTAGGCAGATTCTTAACCTTAAGGAGAAAAAAATATTTTATTCCCTGAGGACATTCCCTGTCTATGTAGATAATTAAACAGAGCGCTTACCAAAATATTCACATAACTAGGCTGTACAATGCCGACAGTCAAGGCCCCATACATTGTTTTTTCCTTTTTTAAGTAATCACATCAACTGTCTCATTTAAAGTACGTTTAGCAATCACCTGAGTGTATTCATTCTTTGAACGATATTTATGGAGAGCTTTTTCTGCTTCAGTACTGATATCTAGGTAAAGGCACGGTTGTAAAACTAAGAAAAAAGATGTCAGAGGACCTTAAGGCTTCAGTGCGGGATTCGAGTGTGAGTGTGTCTGTGCTGGTCCGCACTTGGCAAGGCCTCGTGCTGCTGCCTTTCACTTGTAGGACTCGTACTACAGTGACTTCTGACTGTGCTGATTCTCCCAGTGAACCCGACAGCACCACTGACTCCAGCCCACTTTACAAAGACCTCTCTCTGGTCATCAAGAAGACAAAATAATCCACTCTAACCTAATTCTTTATTAAGTTGGAAAAAGGAAATATGTACTGTAGTGTATATGGGCTACTTATTAACTGGTAGTAACCGTGATAAGAGCTAATAATAGTATTATATAATCTGACTGTCGGGAGCTCTCCATGTAATTTTAGATCATCTATCTAAAATTAGGGAGGAGCTAATCTTGTTTTACATTGTGATGTTCACATCTTCCCTTTTGGTGACTGACGACCTGGCAGTCAGTCACTCAGAGGGAAACAGCCAGAAGAATGAGGGAGCTTGAGATGGCTCTGCAGGAGAAAATGGTCGAAGGAGCTGAAATATTGACCAGGAAAAGGATGCTTCAGGGATATAAGGCAGTCACTTTTCCATGTTTAAGGGTTTTTCTTGTAGGACAGAGATTAGAAATTGATCTGTCTGTACCCCTAGAGATAGAACTTGAAGGAAATAAAATATTTTTAGTTAATACAGGGAGGTATTCTTTGTCTCTTTAAAGATGGACTGTCCCCATTTGGAAAGCGGTTCTCGGAGTTTTCCATCTCTGTGCCAGGGCCCCGGTCACATACAGAGCTGGACAAGCCAGACCTAGCCTCTGTTTCTTCCTCACCCTTTAGACTGCATTTATTTATTCAGCTCTATTTATTTACTTATGTATTCATTCTCATTTATTCATCTGAGTTGTTCATCTCTCCCCAGGAGGACTGCTGTCACCTTCTTATTGGTCTCCATTCATACATCTGGTCCCCTCCAATCTCTTCACCACTGTCAAAAAGTGTGGGCTTCTTCAAATGCAAATCCAGTCTTTCCATGTCTAGCTGTATCTGTTTCTTTAAGGTCTCTCCATTGCTTGGAAACATAAAACCCCAAAGCAGAACATGTCCTATTGGGTCCCTGCCTTCCAACCTCACCTTGTTCTACTTACCTCTTATTGCTCTAGTCACACTGACCTTCTTTCCTCACCTGGCAAGTATCCTGCTTTCTCTTACAACAGAGATTTGCACGTGCTGCCCTCTTGCCCCGCCCAGTTCATTGATACTTAGAGCTCAACTTCCCACCCTCCAAACCACCTGGTTAAGATTCTTTTGTAACACAGTCAAATTACTTGTTTACCAGTATCCCACTCACTTTGTAACATTCTTTTCTGTGATTATTTTCTGTGATTATGTTAACTCCCATACTATATGATTAGCTGAATAAGGGCAGTTTGTCCTCACTTTTGCATATTTTAACCCCAGCTCACACTGATGCGCAGTAGGAGTCCACCTGTGTTTATTGAATGGCTGGACTGATAAAGCTCTTGTAGGTTTTCAAAGGAATCTGGATGACTACTTAGAGAAATAGCGTGTGTGTGTATATATATATAAAATAGCATGCATATATATATAAAATAACATATGTATGTGTGTGTGGGTAGAAAGAGAAGATGGTTAGTTAGGTTCCTAGTAATCTCGAGATTATGTGCTTTTTGCATGTTTGATTTAGAAGTTTTTAATTACAGTTATTCTTTTTTTACTATCCAGGGTCAGAAAAACTACCTATTAATGACATTTGCATTTTGCATCATCTTGACGGGAGCATTATGCACTGCTTTTTCTAAAATCTAAGAATCACACGACCAGCAGGTGGCAGCAGTGGTTAAGACAACGCCTCTACCGGACCCTAGTCAGATTATTCTGAGAACAGAGCTCATTTTCATACAGCAAATGGATCTCAACTCATCTTGGAGTGGGTAAATTATAGTTTTCACAAGTGTGGGAATGAAGAAAAACTGATTTTCTGTCAAGTACGAGGTGACTAAAATGTCTCCATTCTTACAACATTACATCTAAGGGTGCCTCTTTGCCACAATATGTGTTTATAATGTTGCACAAGCCAGAAAACAGCGCGGAGTTCATACAGAAAGAATTCCGCGTACATCCGAATCTCCAGGATATTATACTCGTTAATGAAGGGCGGCAGAAAAGAGGAAGAGAAAGGGGTGGGGTTGGTGAGGGGAGAAGAGTTAGCTCACAGTGGAATTAGATTCCAAAGATACCCGCATCCTTTGCTAGAAAAAGTAAATGTCAGCATTGGTAGCTGAATGTTAAAAAGGCCATTTCATTATTTTTAGCCCAAACTTATTTTTACTTCAAATTAATATTGCCCCACTCTACATCACTCACCCATCTTACTTAGCTCAAAATGCTTTTCATTATCTCCGAATAAAAATTCATCTTCACAGAACAAAAATTTCTCATCATTGAGAGTATAATACCGATACATAATGTGCAAGGACATATAAACACACACGCTATGTATGTACTATTCCAAATTTGGGAGAAATTCTAGAGGTACTGAAAATGAGGTTGTAGCTTATCAGAGAGAGTCCCAAGAGACCAAACACTCTTTGGGAGATATGTGTATGTGTGTGTTTCCTAAAAAAAACCTTTTCTAAAATCTTTCTTTTAACCAGAGGTTTTCTTCCTGTTTTCACTGGCGGCTTCTACTAGGCAATGGAAAATGACGGACATGCTGGTTTTATTTCTTTAAGAAAACTGAAATGGAACTGTTTGTACAATGTTCATCACAATGGTTCCCAAACTTTCAAAACAGTATGACCCCTGGTGCAGTGTGTGCTTCACCCACCCCACCTGACAGTCCAGCACTTCGTTGTGCAGAAGAGACAGCACAGCGTTCTGCTGAAGCGTACACACTATGGATGGAGGTCACCTGTGTGGGTTTAAATCTCCCCTCCGCTTCATTGTACTTGGTTGGCTTCGGCTAAGTTTCTGAGTCCCAGCATCAGATGCCTTGTCCATAAACCAGGGAGTCTGTCTGAACAGGCATTTGCCAAACCTCTGCTTTTTGCTTACCTTAGGAAGTTAATGTCTGTCTCTTTTGAAGCATTGAGGTTTTATTTTCCCTAGTCTAATATGATTAAATTCTTGTGTTTATTTGAACTTTCTCTGGCTTGACTTTCTGCCTCTGTGCACGGAGATGGTGATGCGTTAAGGAGGGAGGCAGTAGCCCAATGAGGCTGGCATCCTCGTTATGGGAATTTCCTCCTATCAGAACAAACATCTCTAGCTCCTAATGAGCTTTAAGAAATTAATACAGCATTTCCCTTGAGTTATCAAATGTCCTCTTATTTCTGTATCCATTTAATTTTATGAAGAATTTTTAAGAGAAAAAATGAAATACTTAAACCAACCTTCTACATGGAATTTTGGGGGAAAAATAATAATAGCTGTGGATCCCACTCCCTCTTTTGGCCCAGACCACTTAACTTGCACATGTTGAAACATCTCCAGGAGGTCAGTGGCCAAGGCTGTTTTTCCTTCAGACCCTGTGGAATAATTACTCCTTTTCCAGTAATAAAATCTCTAACACAATTCATCTTGACAAGGGTCCATGAAAACAAACAAACATTCCAATTTCTAAATGGAGATTTTTCCAAGACCTAGTGAAATAAATCGCTGGGAATGAGCTGGAGAGAGAGACAAGACAGTGGGCTGTAAATCAGAACCTAGAAGTGCTGATGCCTCACAGGTGCTCCTGAGACGCCGCTTGCCTGTTTTCATTCCCTTAACCAACAAGGTGCTCAAAAGCACTGTTTCTAACTCATCCATACCTTACATGATTAAAAAAGTTATAAATCTGTCTTTCACATACCCCATAAATATTGATTTATAAAACTCACCTCAAATAATTTGTTTCCAACAGAAAAGGCTGTATTGTTTCTCTTTCTTCCAAACTTATTTGAGAATTATATTGGCTTTATATGCATGTGACAATTAAATTTATTGTGAGCTCCTTGAGAGTAGAAGGTGTTTTATTCATCTTTATATCTCAAGAAGCTAGCACAGCACATGGCATGTAATTTTTTAAAAAGCAAAACACTTTTGTTTTATGAATATCTTAAAGATACAGTCCAAAATTAATTAGCCATTGATTCTTTAAAAACTGGTCCTTAGGAATTCACTGAATCACACATAAAATATTAAGTGGTTTCTTTCTACCTGGCTATGATATATAATTAGCTTATATTGTTGGATTTAATTTCCTAAAATTTAACTAAAATATTTTGCTTTTGAACCCAATTAAAACATGGGCAAAGGACTTGAACAGACACTTCTCCAAGGAGGACATACAGAGGATCCAGAGACACATGAAAAGATCCTCAGTATTGCTAGCTATCAGAGAGATGCAAATTAAAACCACAATGAAATACCACTTCACACCAGTCAGAATGGCCATCATAAACAAAGCAACAAACAACAAGTGTTGGAGAGGCTGTGGAGAAAAAGGGACCCTAGTGCACTGTTGGTGGGATTGCAGACTGGTACAGCCACTGTGGAAAACAGTATAGAATTTTCTTAGAAAACTAAAAATGGATCTGCCTTTTGACCCAGCAATTCCACTGCTAGGATTATATCCTAATTCTGAAACACCAATCCAAAAGAACCTATGCACCCCAATGTTCATAGCAGCACAATTTAAAATAGCCAAGTGCTGGAAGCAACCTAGGTGCCCATCAGTAAATGAATGAATGGATCAAAAAACTGTGGTACATTTACACAATGGAATTCTATGCAGCAGAATGAAAGAAGGAGCTCCTACCCTTTGCAACAGCATGGATGGAGCTGGAAAGCATTATGCTAAGCGAAATAAGCCAGGTGGTGAAAGACAAATACCATATGATCTCACCTTTAACTGGAACCTAAACAACAAAACAAACAAACAAGCAAAATATAACCAAAGACACTGAAATAGAGAACAGGCTGACAGTGACCAGAGGGGAGAGGGGAGGGAATTTCAGGGGAAAAGGGGAAGGGTTTACAGGAATAAGTATAAAGGACACATGGACAAAAACTAGTGGGGGTGGGAATGGGAGGGAGGTGGGGGAGGCTGGAGGGGTGGGCTGGGATGGGAGTAAAAGGCAGAAAATCGTACTTGAACAACAATTAAAATAAAAACAAATAATAGCAGCTAGAAAAAAATTTTGCTTTTGAGTTCATAAGTGATATTGGATTGTAATATCAGGGTAGTACTGGCTCCAAAAAGTTTCTTAAAACTCGATATTATTCCTCCTTAAATGTTTGGTAGAATTCAAAACTGAAGCTATGTGGGCCTCAATTTTTTTAAACAAAGTGATTTAGGCTATCTGTTTCTTTTTGAATGAGCTGTCTTTTTTAAAAAAGATTTTATTTATTTATTTTTAGAGAGGAGAAGAGAAGGAGAAAGGGGGAGAAAAACATCAATGTGTGTTTGCCTCTCACGTGCCCCCCACTGGGGACCCATGAACCTAGGCATGTGCTTGACTGGGAATTGAACCAGCGGCCTTTAGTTCACAAGCCCGCACTCAATCCACTGAGCCGCAACAGCCAGGGCTGAATGAGCTTTCTTAATTTATGTCATTCAGGGAATTTGCTAAATTTGTGTACATTGTAGAAATTATTGACATAACCTTGTTTATAATATTTCTTTATTCTCCCTTCCATATCTGCAGAATTTGTAGTGATGTCTAATTTCTCAGTTCCGACATTGGTGATTTGTTCCTTCTCTTTCTTTGCCTGAACATTGTAACTAAAAGTTTATCAATTTTGTTGATCTATTCAACAAATTAGCTCTAGGTTTCCTTGTTTTTGCTGTGTTTTTACCTTTTATTTATTGATTTGTGTTCTTACATTATTTATTCTGTTTCATTTAGTTCCTTAACATGCTGTTATTTCCCACCCCCTTCCCCTTCTTCTGAAGGGGACTGCTTTAATTTTTCCTACGTGTCGTAGATTCTCTGTTCATCTTTATTCAGTTCTAGTCTCTGTTTTATTTTTCAGTAGTGTCCATGTTTTGTCTTCAAGTTCACTTTCCTTCTTCAGTGTCAAATCTACTATTAATACCATTCTGTATACTTTCTGAGGGACTGCATACAAAGTCAGAAATGCCAAGAAGGGAACCACAGGAAAATAGAGGCAGAGACTTGAGCACCGTAACTACAAGTCAAGGCCGAGGACTGCTGTAAGCCCCTGCGGTCTAGGAGCCAGGCTCAGGAAGGGACTTCCCCTCAGGTCCCCCAGAAAGAACCAAGCCTGCTCATTGCGGGCTTTTAGCTGCTGTCACTGTGAGAAAATAGCTTTCTGTTGTAAGCCATCAAATTTGTGTAAGTTACTGTGACATCCCTAGGAAAAGAATACAGGTATTTTTAACTCCATCAGCATTTGAGACACAGAACAGAATAAGATCCACGAATGCACCCCATGGCCATCAGCACTGGCAACACTGCTGCTAAGATAAAGATGTGGCGAAACCGCAAAGCAACACACGTAGAAAATGCATGTTGTGAAGGTTTTAAAAAGTGGCTTTTTTGCCTGGACAGAACTGAGCATTTCATCTTTAGGGAATACGGGGTGGGGCATACTCCTCTTCCTCTATAAATACAATACAGTGTGTCGTCGGATTTTTTGTTTAAGAAGGAAAAGAACCAAATACTTGGAATGTTGAGTAAAGCATTCCAGCAAGCCATCTCTGGGTAGAAAAAGGTCTGACAGAAATTACATAAGAAAATTTATAACATTCTTTAAGCATCTTGCTATTGACAATAAGATTCTTCTAGCCAACAGAGGACATCAGAGTGAATTCAGTTGCTTTCCAGCTGCTGAAGTCCTCACAGGGGAAACTCATGTCATTTTTTCTCATAGTAAAGACAAACTGTCTCTCTGGAAAATAGTTATATTTCCATCTTTTTAAAGATCCTGAGGAAAGTGAAAAATAAAATAAAACACAGAATTTCAGTATGCGTGCTGTGACTTCCTTGTCATTTGTTTATACTGATGCTGGAGTGACCTTTATACTTATATATTTATAGAGAGATTTATTATAAATCATTGACTCACGTGGCTGTGGAAGCTAAGAAGCCCCAAGGCCTGCAGCTGGCTGGCCGGGGACCTGGGAGAGCTCCTCGGTGTAGTGGCAGCCTGAGTCCAAAAGCCTGAGGAGCAGAAAGGTTGATGGTGTAGATTCCGGTCTGAGTTCGAAGGCCCAAGAACCAGGAGAGCCAATGCTCCAAGTTTTAGTCCAAGTCCAGGTCCTCCAAGGACCGGAAAAGACCCTTGTCCAGCTCACAGATGGGCAGAGAGAGTGAATTCTCCCTTACTCAGCCTTTTCCTTCTCTTCAGGTCTTCAGGGGATCAGGTGGGGCCCATCCACATCGAGGAGGACTACTGTTTTACTCAGGCTTCCTATTCAAATGTTAATCTCATCAGGAAACACCCTTACAGACACACCCAGAATAAGGTGTAACCAGATACCTGAGCACACTGTGGCCCAGGTGATTTGACACATAAATTTATATAGGTGTTAAATCCCACATATAATAAATCATTTATCTGATATTTAGTTCTTCAACCATAAAAAGATTTTGAGTTTAAACTCTTAGTTACACAATTTGGTAATACTGTGACCCTTAAACAATGCAAGGGTTTAAGGTCATATACAGTCAAAAATCTGACTCCCCAAAACTTAACTACACAGTTACTTGTCATTCTGTATCTGTGGGGGACTGATTGATTGATTCTAGGATCCCCTGTGGATACCAAAATAGATGAATGCTCAGGCCTCCATATGAAATGATGGGGTGCCCAACCTTTTGGCATCTCTGGGCCACACTGAAAGAAGACTTGTCTTCAGCCACACATTAAATGCACAAACACTAACGAAAACTGATGAGCAAAAAAAAAAAATAAGTAAATTTGTGATTTTGTGTTGGGCCTCATTCATGGCCATCCTGGGCTGCAGGTTGGACACCCCTAGGTGGAGGCACACAGTCAGCCCTCTGCATTCATGCAGTCCCAACCTCAGATCAAAACCCATGAGGTACTTACTGAAAAAACAGTGGCATGTAAGTGGGCCCCTGTTGTTCAAGGGTCAACTGTACTATTTTTAGAGATTGTTTTACGTGTCTGAGGCTATAGTAAAAATGTTTATTATAAACAGAAAAAGGAATGGGGGAAGCTTTCAACTTTGTTCGTAAAAAGACATGCTCACTTAGCCCTATTCCTGGATCATTTCATAACAGCTCCTCAGTATATACCTGAAAGGAATGAATGCACATACCCATTGAAAGTCTTGCACAAAATTG